TTGTTGTATGTGTTAATACATGTGTTTTTAAATTGCTGAATAGTGAGCCTTTTATAGATATACCCTTATTTATCCATTCATCTGTTTCTCACATGATTTCACTCTTCAGACTCAGCTGAAGAATTCTGGAACACTCTCCACAACTCTTTAAGAGTCCTCTTGGTCTGCAGTTCTTCTCTCTCAACTCTGGCTCCATTAGCCTCTCTGGCACCCTAGGGAGAGGGTATGGGGGCGGTTCTCCCACCTGAGCTGTAGCCTAGAAACTCTGCAGGTCATAAGATGGGGATATTCACAGTGCTCATCTGTTCCCATTCTCAAGAATCACTGTCCTGGGTTACCTAATGTTCAATCGGTTGAAAACCATTACTTTGCATATTTTGTCCATTTTTTTCCCCCTTCTGGAGGGAGAGTAAGTCAGTTTCTATTACTTGATCTTGGTTAATAGCAAATGTTTTCTCAGAATCATTCCTTCTAGCTTTCCAACAGGTCTTCGGTTAAGCAAGCAAACAAGAGAATTTTCTTCCCTTGGACTCTTGAAATCATACAGTTTGGTTGCAAGTCAAGTCAGTTTGGTTGAAAGGAGAGGCCAAAGTCAGCAGAAATGATCTCTTTTGTGGCTGCTTCATTGAGGATGACGGGCTCACCATTTATCTTTGTTAGCGGACTTAGGACCCTGGGATCCTTCACATTCTTTATTGGCTGTTACAAATCCCCCCATTCCTAGCTGAGTATCTATCATATTTGTGACAACATCAACATCAAGAAATTGGTGATATGACTTTGAGTTTTGCTTCTAAAAGATTATGTTCCTGCGTTTCATCCAGTGCTGGCACCTGGAGAACTATGGTATACCTAAACAACTTTGGACTGGGACTGTGTAGTCACAGGTCCAGTTCTAGAGCCACCTTTAATAAACAAATTGACCTTGGGAAATTTTCTTGGCCTCTTTCTGCTTTAAATTTTCCACTTATAAAATTGTTTGTGGTAGGTGAAGTCGTAGACCTTGATTTCCCTTCCAGGGTTAAGATCCTTTACTTCTAATTTGTGTCATGTCTCAATCTTTCGTGCAGCTTGTGAAAAAAAATGAAGGTTCTGGTCATCTCCGTTTCCTTTTCTCCTGGGAGCGAGGCCTGAGGCTTTTTGAAGGACACAGGGCGATTCGATTCATCCTTGTTTCCTCTACTCTCTTCTGCTGTCTGCAAAGAATTGTGGTTTATGGCAGCTTTTACCTCTATGGTCCTCCAGGGACAGGAACAGGAGAAGGCCAGAGTTAGCAGAAATGATCTCTTTTGTGGCTGCTTCATTGAGAATGACGGGCTCACCATTTATCTTTGTTGAAAGAGCCAATCAGCAGACGTAGGACCCTGGGCTCCTTCACGTTCTTTCTCGGCTGATCAGTGATTCATAGAGTCCATTAAAATGCCTGGATGACCAAGAGCTCAATTTTCCCAGACAAAATCTGCTTGGCAGGGAAGAGGCTATTTCTCCTTCTTAGCAACCCCTGAAGAGTCAGCATTGGAGGCCGTAGAGGGAGTATATCTCGGCACACTGTATTAACCTCGCTGGCACTGCTTGGTGGCCCTGGTCCAGCAGCTGGCTGGCTGCATTAGGTTTATGATTGTTGAAGCCTAGATGAGTAGTTCTGCTGATGGTGCAGGCTTACTTGGTGGCTGGTACATGGAGGCCCTCTAGAACAGGAGAGAGCTGTGTATGGTGAGACCTTTCCCACAAGTTGGAGGTCTGGGAGACTGTTTGATTCCCTTTCCTAATACACAGTGAGAAATATAGAGAGGCTACTTCTAAAATATGAAGGTGAAACATTTATATATCAGTGGGGAGTTCAGGGTTTTAACCCCCCCCCCTGAACACAGGGATGTGAATATGCTTTGTCACCCTATCAGGTTCCCATGTAAGTGATGAGAACTATTGTCAATTTCCTTGTCTTCCATGTTCCCTAGTTTCTGATTCTGCTAAGGAAAAATGTTCTTTTTTAAGTCTTTCTCAGTTGTCCAGTGCCTGGCCCAATTCCGTTTTTGATGTTGATTTGATTTTCTTCCTTACTCCTGTATTTTCTCCTCTCACATCTCAGGGATTCTGCTCCGACCTTTCCCTTCGTCCTCTTTCCTGCCTCTGCGTTGATAGCTCCTTCCCCAGGAGAAAGGAACTTCTGAGAGCTCTCCACTCCAGAATTCTCTGTTGTCTCTGATGAGAATATCAGATCAAATCAGCCAGTGTTGATTTGTTCCAGGTCAGCTCTAGCCACACCTCCATAATTATCATAATCATAATAACAAAATCAACAACAGTTACAATTAACTGAGCACCTACCATGAATCGGATCTCTGTGTTCATTCCCTCTCAACTTCACAGCAACACTATGAGGTGGGTACTCTTATTATAGCCATTGCATAAACCAGGAAATAAAACACTCAGAGAAGTTAACTTCCCCCAGGACAGGGGAAGTATCAGAGACAGAATTCCCACTGAGTCCATCAGTCTTCAGGCTACTGGATTTTTTATTATGTAAAAATATTTCCCCTGGAGGTGGACTTCTTATATTTCATAGGTGACTCACCAAATATGCACAAGAGATGAAAAAAGTAGGATAGGGAGAGGAAGTCATGACTTAGAAATATCTTCCTGATGAAGGGAGATAGGTAGAACCATGAAGGAATTTCCTGTACCCTTAGTGAGGACAGGCAGGGATGTACTTTACTCATCTTCAGTATCACTTTTACCTCTTTAAACATAAGGTGAAGCTTAATGGATAGTTACAGTTTCTGTGAGCTTAGCCTTGAAACTCATCTTAGCCTTGTAACTCATCTTATAAAAATGTAATAGAGATACATGTACACAATTAGACTAGAAGACTGGCATACATGAGACACTCAGTATCATTCCTTAAGGGTAATATTTCAATCATGGTTCAGCAGAAGGTACAGGAAGATCTATATTAAAAATTAAGAAATAGGGATGGGGTGTAGCTCAGTGGTAGAGTGCTTACCTAGTATGCAAGAGGCCTTGGGTTTGATTCCCAGCATCCAAAAAAAAAAAAAAATCTAGACACCTTTTCATCATTTGAATAAAAATAACCAACTGGTTCAGTCAAGGAACTTAAAAACTATGACCTTAGGATGACATGCTATATTCTATTTGACAATTCAAGTAGACCTGAACCTCCTGTCTAGATTTTGCATACATGAAGTGTCTCAGAAATATGCTATTAATAGCTCATGCAAGGGCAATGATAATGAAATCTACATAACTATATTTCTATGGCACCTTTCACAAAGGCATTTTTATTTTCTTAGAAGAGTGATTATTCAGGCTATTCTGGGATAGGTCAAATGTTCTTGACAGAGGGCTTTCAGAGGTGAGCCCCTCAGTGGGAAAGTTCACTGATAAAACTTTGAGTTTCTTTTTGATATCAAGCTGACATTATGTTATAACCTTGATTCCTAACTCCATAGGACAAAATTTTGAGGGGGAGGTGAATTGTTTAGTAGCTAATATAAGAATGTTTACTTATATGAATAGTGCACTGTATCTAATAACATAAAATATTTGCTTTTTGTATTCCTCTTATCCAATGGATACTTTCCAGAAGGTTCACAATAACATTCTAGGTGTTCCTTTCTATTAATTTTTCTACATATATATGTTTTTATATTTGTTATCTAATATGTTGCTTCATCCTTGGATATAGAGCACAAACACATTTTCTTTTAATCCTTAACTTACAAGCCTGTTAATTAAATCAATTCAGCATAGCTTCTCAGATATTTTAAATGATCCAAATCATGTTTTTAGGAAATCTTCACCATTCTATTATCTCCCTATCTTGCTCAAAGCCACTTCAAATGGGCTTATCATTGTAATAAAAAAGAATGTTTACTATGTAAATTGAGTATCAAAATGAAAACTAAAAAGCAATTTTGTTATGATATAAATTTTGGAGCTGCTACCAATTAGGTCAACTCAGATGTATTTATTTTTTGAAAGCTTATTAACATTAATTTGGTAACAATCTTCCCTTCATTTATAATCAATATGTCTAGAGCTGGAAGTAATGAACCAAAATAATAAAAATATTGCTAAGGTTTTCAGACCATCATCATATGCACCTTGTCCTGTCACTGCAACCTCATGATAGCTGACTCCAATCGAGCTTTCTAGCAGCACCCCCATGCCGTCACTCAACACACGCCAGCCTTGAAGGTCAGCTGTCATTCCACGAACAGAGCCTGTGCCTCTGACCATCATTTCTGTTTCTTTCACCTGCAATCTCTTCCTCCATCAGGAATGGAACCAGTTCCAAATCTATTTCAACAACTCCCTTTCTCCAACCAGCTGAAATTAAATTCTTTCTTCCATGGGTTCCATGGTGATTTCTGTGTTTTGTTTGTAACTTATTAAATTAATTTTCTTGGGACACACATGAAAATAATCCACTTTAGAGTATTTCTGTCTCTATTACTAAGCAGAAAATTTATCCAAGACAAGAAAACTGTCTTGAGCTTCTCTTGATCCTGTCCAAGTCCTGGTATGGACCAGTTAAACTGAATTGGACGGAGAATATGATTTTCAGTGTAATCGAATTCCATAAGAAGTATTTGCAGACAGAAGTATTTGTGACTTTTAGTGTGATTAAATTCCACAGAAGTAGCATGTAAGAGTCTGGCAGATTATCCTTTGCTTGTTAGGGACTTGACTTTGTATAAACCACCAAATCTGTAAAGTCAGTTTCCTTCATTTGAAAATTCTTCAGTAAATATATGATAATTAGGTAATCCAAATTGGCCTGTCATTGAAAAGGTCGATTCCAAAAAGGAAACCCGTATCATAATTAGCTCTAATGAGGCTTTCTTTCTAAGGTTATTACCTTCTCTGATTTGCTCTCTCTTCAACTTGTAATATTTATTCATTAAAAATACTTATGGATTAGCTCTGCCGGCTTATACAGATGGAAGCCTCTCACTGGCAACACCACTCTTTAATGCAGTTAGGGCTAAAATGGGCTTTAATTTCTTGCCATCCTTTTTCCTAGGCTGGGTTGTGGTTTGTTGAAGTCTAAGTAAGCCATTTTCAGATGTTTTTTATTTCTTCTGTTCTCCTTTGAATATTATTTTTAAAACGATTTCATCACTACTCTTTGAGATTCTTCATTAATTCTCTGGGATGTTTGCCCTTGTGCAGTGGTTCTCAACTGGGGGTGATTTTACCTGGGGATGTCATCTCTGCCATTCTGCCCCAACCACCCCTTTCTTCCTCTTCCCTGATATCACTCCAACAACTCCGTCCACCTCCTCAGGAGGTGGGTGGCTTCTCTGAGCTCTCCACTTTGAGTCTCTCAGGCAATGTCTGAAGACGGTATTGATGGTATCAATGAGGCCGTGTTACTCTTGGTATCTCATGGGTAGAGTCCAGGGATTCTGCATCCTGTAATTTACAGACAGCCATCGCCATCCTCAACAAATGATTGGGTCCCAAAAGTCAACAGCCTTGCTGTTGTTCAGTAGTGATAGGAGCCATTCAGTTATTTCCTGCATACTTTCTTTATAATGACCATTTTACATAGCTCTTAGTGTCTCTCTGTCCACTTGCTGAACATCCCTATGGGAATCTTTAATTTAAATGACAAGTTTCTTTTATATTTCCTACCTGGAAATTAAGGCTTTTGTCCTACTCTTAGTATTTATACCATTATATTTTCATAACTATTCACTTTTCCTTTCAATGGATTCTTTAAAGGCAAAGATAGCAATTCTTAAAATGTGTCACTTAAACAAGCAGTACTTGCTCCCTAGAGGGACTTTGTAATAGCTAGAACATCACTGATATGCTGATAGGTCCTTGTTACTGTCATTCAGATTCACTGGATTTTCCAAAGCCATCATATCTTGCCACTTTTGAAGGCAGTCTTAGTTCATTTCCTAATAACATAACACCACAGACTGAGTAAATTATATGGAAAGGAGTTTTATTTTGGCTCATGGATCTAGAGGTTCAAGGTTAAGGGACTGCCTCTGGGAGATGGTCCTCTATTGGTCCTCTAATTGTGGTTAGTCCTGTTGTAGGTAGCCCCAGTGATGAGGTAGAAATGGTGCAACTGCAGGACAAGAATTTCCTTACATGTGGGCAGATACATTTCAGTACAGCACTGCCCTCTCCTAGCGGAAGCACAAAAACACCCTCATGCACTGCTGGACAGGTATGAAGTTTGAGATGATTTTCTTGCTGCCAGAAGGTCAAGAACCAGTGTCTGAGTTTCTCTCACGCAGCACTGACAATCAAAGTAGGAAGCAAGAGGAAAGCTCATCCACTCACTTGAGTTCTCTTTTGATCTTTATCCGTCACTCTGCTAATGGGTTCAACTGACTCACATACAACTTTGAACCAAGGCTGAACATCGTTTTTACATTTGAACAGCCAAGACCAAGGTTTGTGTTCTATGCTAGGTCAGTTAATTTTTTAAAAAACATATTTATTTATTTAAAATTTTGATTTGTTATATATGATAACAAAATGCATTACAATTTATATTATGCATTTAGAGCACATTTTTTCATATCTCTGGTTGTACACAAAGTAGAGTCACATCCTTCATGTCTTCTTACATGTACTTAGGGTAATGATGGCCATCGCATTCCACCATGTTCCCTATCCCCAAACCCCCTACCTTCCTTCACCTCCCTCCCCTTTGCCTAATCCAAAGTTCCTCCATTCCTCCCATGACCTCCCCTACCACCCGCATTATGGATCAGCATCCACATGTCAGAGAAAACATTCAATCTTTGTATTTTGGGGGATTGGCTTACTTCACTTAGCATGATATTCTCCAGCTCCATTAATTTACTTACAAATGCCATGATATTATTCTCTTTTAAGACTGAATAATATTCCATTGTGTATATATTCCACAGTTTCTTTATCTGTTCTTCTATTGAAAGGCATGTAGGTTGGGTCCACAATTTAGCTATTGTGGATTGTGCTGCTATAAACATTGATGTGGCTGTGTCACTGTAGTATGCTGTTTTTAAGTCCTTTGGGTATAAATTGAGGGGATATATATATATATATATATATAAAATATACATACACATATATCTGGGTCAAAAGGTGGTTCCATTCCAAGTTTTCCAAAGAATCTCCATACTGCTTTCCATATTGGTTGCACCAATTTGCAGTTCTACCAGCAATGTATTAGGGTGTCTTTTCCTCCACATCCTTACCAACACTTATTGTTGTTTGTATTCTTGATAGCTGCCATTCTGACTAGAATGAGATGAAATTTGAGAGTAGTTTTGATTTGAATTCCTCTAATTGCTAGAGATGTTGGACATTTTTTCATATATTTGTTGATTGATTGCATATCCTCTTCTGAGAAGTTTCTGTTCAGTTCTATGGCTCATTTATTGATTAGGTTATTTGTTTTATTTATTTATTTATTTATTTATTTTAGTTGTAGATGGACACAATAACTTTGTTTTATTTGTTTATTTTTACGTGGTGTTGAGGATAGAACCCAGTGTCTCACATGTGTAAGGCAAGTGCTCTGCCACTGAGCCACAACCTCAGCCCCAGGTTATTTGTAATTTTGGTGTTAAGTTTTTTAACTTCTTTATGTATCCTAGTGATTAGTGCTCATTCTGATGTGAATGTGGTAAAAATTTGCTTCCGTTCTGTGGGCTCTATATTCACCTCACTGATAGTTTCTTTGCTGAAAGTTTAAGTCCATTTCATTTATTGACTCTTAATTTTATTTCTTGCACTACAGAAGTCTTATTAAGGAAGTCAGGGCCTAATTCGACATGATGAAGATCTGGGCCCACTTTTTCTTCTTTTGGGCGCAGGGTCCTAGGTCCTTGATCCACTTTGAGTTTTGTGCGTGGTGAGAGAAAGGGGCTTAATTTTATTTTGTTGCATATGGATTTCCAATTTTCCCAGCACCATTTCTTGAAGAGGCTATCTTTTCTCCAATATATGTTTTTGGCGCCTTTGTCTAGTATGAGATAACTGTATTTATGTGAGTTTGTCTCTGTTTCC